TACTCTTCCGCACTTTTTTACAATCTATAGCATTTCCATTGTTTTATTCTTGAGAATTCTATCGAGTACTCGTAAATAATGTAAACGAACTAACGAACACTTGGTAAATTCTCATCTATACATACTTATGTATTATGAAAGGCCATAAAATTATTGGATTTCAATATTGCAGCATGAATTCAAACTTCCAAGGAAATATTCAAAGGTCTTTAAGACGGAGTAGTTTACCATCTGTGCTCAGTTAATTTACAACTTATGCTACAAATCGAGTGCCTAATTTGTTTTCAACTGGCTGGTCTGGAAAGTCAAATATCTGATTAACTATCCAAAATGCTCTAGTGTTAATAATTTAGCAGACGGTGCGATCTAACATTCTGTGATGACTTTGACTTGAGATATATCTATAAGGTGAGCGTCTTTATGCTTAGTTAAATTTAATTAGAACAACTTCGTACGTGAACTTTGAATAAATAATTTTAATTCAAGTTTATTTAATAATTGCCAAATTTATATTGAACAAAAGGCAGTTTAAAAAAAAATATTTGTGTTTTAAATGTATTTTTTGTTTGATTTGAAATTGTAATTTATAGTATTGTTCCATATATACAAAAATACGATATTCTTAAATCTACATCACAGATTTAAAATTGATAATACAACTAAAAAATAAATTTAGATGGAGACCTAGTCGCCAGAATAGTTTTCTTTAAGGAGACTACAACACAAAGCACATTTCACAGTAATTTCTACTAATAAAAGTGGCCAAAATATATGTTGCGAACATATATGTATATGTACATTGCACATATGTGATACGTGTATAATGAAGTTATAGATAAGATGTATAATGTTTATTTCATATATAATGTATAGAGATTACTATTAAATAACTATTTGCCAAATATATATGTAGATATATGTATATGTCTGTCTAATCTATAATATAACGATGAAGGCCTTAAAAGACATATAGAATAAAATTTAACAGGTAAATTAAACTATAATATTTTAGTTTCTATAAATAAGTAATCAATTTGTGACAATTATTTTTATATGTATTTTGAGGTACATATTCTATTGATTCCTTGTCATTGAAGTACTCTTCTATCAAACATATTTTAAAAAATGGCTATGAACATTTTTATAAATCATTTTTGAAAACCTAAGCGTGACGGATGACGGATGACAGTGACAACTTCAAATGTCAATTAGGATTTCCAGATTTTTGGTTTCACCAGAGAAATACCATTTTACTCCAGAATAAATCTATTGAGTTTTTCGTACTGGTTGTTTTGAAGAAGTAAATGTTGAAATTCTAATATTTTTACTTTGAATCATTTAATATTACAATATATGGTACTGTATTTTATAGTAGAGAAAAAAATATTAAGTTATTATTACACCCATATACTAAATAGACCATTTATATAGCGTATGTGTGTTTTGTAATTTATTTCCAGAAGAGTTATATAATTGTTTTGGGAATACTTACGAACTGTAATGTTATCCTTTGACAATCTATTCCTTTAAAATAAATCTCTGTAATTGCTTGATTATCTTAAAATATTTAAATACTTCAGCAAAATATTAAAACAACCAAAAAATATTAAATATGAAAAATATCAGTAGTTTATTTCGCCACGAATATGAGTTCCCACTTATTCGTTTAGTTAAAATAAACTGCCAGAATAATAAAAACATAAATTTACATTAAATTAAAATTTTAATTTAATTCCTTTTGGAATGAAATACGATTACCAAGCACGGACTTAATATAGTCATAACTTATTTCGTAAAGCCAAACCACTTGCCGACTGTGGATTTATTTGCTACATAGAAAAAAGGAGATTCCAGATATTACATTTTGTAGAACCCGAAATTGAATTTCTTTACGACTGCTCCAATAATCAAATGAATAATCCATTTACAGTCCTCGCGGGGTGTCCGCAGAATCAAGGAGCCGTAAAAATTTTTCAACATCGTCAGGCTACGTGCTTCGTTCGAAGGAGAAATTAGGTTACAAAGTATTTTGTTTCTGGCGCTCCATTACTGCAAGTAGGTTTGAGTAACAAAAAGAATTCTTTATGTCTTGATGAGCTTACTTACTTCTGACCCTATTCACGTAAATGAACAAAGGATTTTCAACACAGCATATTACAATGTGATTTTAAGACATTTTTGCTTTTCGTATTTTTTTTTAATAATAATAGTTTTACTCTAAACGGAATTAGGTTTCATAGATTAATCAAACGTTGAATAATGCAATGGGTTTTGGTTAAGTGAATGCTAAGCATATGTGCAACGCAAATTTGTATTAGCATATCTCATTTTTCGTAGTGGCCATAAAAAATAACTTCTCGAGGCTGGTGACTGCAATCTTCATTATCATACATTCAATTACTTAGATTTAACTCAACCTTCCAGATACCACATTGAATCACTGAGTGGAAATAATTAGATTTAGTGTGCATTTATCGTATTTTCACCTGAGTAGCTTATGAAGTAAAAAGATTGAGAATTCTTTGAAATTATGCAATATTATTCTGTGTTCATTGAATCTTGTAGGATTCAATTGGATTCTTAATTTTCATATCTATTTCTTAACTAAATATTAAATTAAAAAAAAAAACTATATACTAAGTTATTTATTTAGCTTAATGTTTCTTGTTTCAGAGAGTTTGTAATGATATTGATAAAATTATATTGAGTCTTTTCTACAAAACTGTGCAAAAAAAACATCGTTTGTTTTGATAATTACGATTCAGTCAGCTATAATTAACTAATTTTGGATTTTAAAAAAATATTCTTTGGTAAAGAGAATTGAATTATGATCAATTTGAATAAAAGCGGATAAAATGAATGAAACAAATACAGTGGCTGAAGCATTTTAAATTTAATAGACGTTATTCATAATGTTAAAAACATCATTTTAGTGAGTGAATAAAAATAAAAGTTATATATTTTTAGGAGAGTCTCGCATGAATTTCGTCACACGTCTAGCATTCATTTTCTTAAAGGTGTTGACTCGAGAAAACACTCGAGCTATGAAATCGGGGACTAAATTTATTCGGTCATATTTAAGTAGGCTTTCATGACACGTCCGCTGAATCGTTTGTGACGGGTCAGAGGGTATGACAAGATAGAACCGAGTCTCCTCAGTGGAAGCTCTCCTAAAAACAACAGGTGTTTAAATTTCTTATAGTCTTTATTTATAGCTGCATCAAAGTCGACTCCTCTTTTTATAGCTTCAATAAAATGAGACTGTTTCAATTAAAAAAAAATATTCTCATTGAAATTCTCTTATTCTTACAAATCTTAGATTTCTGAAACGAATATAAAAATAATAATGTTACTATGAAACGTGTTAATGGAGCCAAATAGTACGTTTCACCAAGCAATTTTTCCACAGAATTAAACCGAGGCATAATAAAATCGCTCAACACTCAAGTGATAAGCGGTTACCACTATCTTTGCCAAATGCGTCATCCTGTCGTAAAAATGATTTGTTACGGGAACCACATTAAAAATACACAAGAAAACTCCCAGACTTCCTCTTTTTGTTTATGTGGCCCTAAACATAATTAGGGTCAGTTACGCAATTCTCTATATTTAGGCAACCCTCAATGGGCTAAAGTGACAGACGTAATGGATTGAATGGCTGGTTTCTTTCATATATATTTAGATGTAAAAGCCAGATCTCTGAGAGGGGTTATTAGGTCAATATCCGACGCCATTAGCATTCGATATGGTGTTTCTATTTAATTTAAGTAGTTTTTTTCATTTATATTTTACTACTAGGACGTTTCTGTCAGTATTATATTTCTAAAGGTTAACGTTATAGACTATATGATAAAGATGTACATTTTCGGCAAACGGTAGTTGTAATTACGCTTTTGTTCGTATTGTCAATATAACCAAGGATAAACCAAGATTATCTGATATGAATAATGGATTTATTAATATATTACATATGTTATATATTATTTATACGACAAACAATATCGTTTTATTTGATAAGTAACAGTGATTGATGGAGGTTGAGTAACATTGATGTAGTTTGTACTATTTGTAGATGGAAACCGTTACACTCAGAATAGTTATGTACAATTTTATTCCAAAATTTTTAAATTATGTATCTATTGAATATCAATACTCTGGTATGGTTTTTAACATGAACTGTTAAATAAGGTATGTATTAAAGTTGCTTTAAGACATAGATAATAATATACATTTTTAATAAACTTTTATAATAAGTACGTACCTATGTATTATGAACGTATCAAATACCAATTTTGTCATTTTGAATAGAGCCACACAATTACTTCGTAGAATCGGCAGTGAGTGCTATAGATCCTGCCTTTAATATATTGTACGTTGATGTATGTAGAACCATTTATTAAGAATTTAATTTAAAGATTGCCCTCTAAATTGCTTAAAGTTACCGTTCATGCTACAACTACGAAATACTGAAAGTCACACGTGGTGGCCCAATAAAACGAGTTGTTTACAAATATAACCTATTTATAACATAGCAACTGTTTGTTGCATGTAATAGAATGTCAGGAAATTGGTAAAGAAGTGTATTTAAATTGATAAAACACTATTATATTATATGAAGTTAAATTTGAAAAATGTTCATGAAATTAAACCTGGCTTCGAAGTGATAATCTCATAGATTCATTTTAGGCTTAACACGTTAAATCAGGCACTTTATAGCACATACTGCAATATATATTGATATAAGGGTAATTGTTATAAACTATTGACCGTATCGACTATAAAATCCCCATTCTAGTATTAAAATTATGATATCAATTAATAACAGGGCAACTCATCAAATTGCAATTATGTATGGTATAAAGTATATGTATCTTTTACAATGGTAACGAAAAGTAAACGTATATGAAGCCACAATTAGACCTGAGGTACATCTGATTAGAGCGACCTGAGATTCCCTCATTATCCAGATCATTAAATCGCGACTGTACAGGAACACTTACGCCTTTGATGTTTCGATCGGCAGAGAGTTGGAGTCTTTGGCGGTTTGGATTTGACACTCCTGTAGCAGTAAATCTCCTCACTCCCCTTCTTCGTCACTTTAAAACTGGAAAACATTTCACAACACAACACTGTACCACAAACTATAACACACACACGTATCCATTTTGAAGCGAGCGTGCTCGCGCGCCGACGGCTCTTTCAAGATTCAGTACGTTGTTTTGTCGGCACGCGTCTGTTATATATAGAAACCCGTCGCTGCTACGTCCGTTATATTTTTTTATTAATATACAAGTAGCAATAAAGTGTCTGATGTGGCTGACAAATTTTGGGTTAGAACAGATTCATTATAAATTGAGTCATTTGTTCATAAATAAAAATTGTTATTATGTGATTTTAATCGGATTTTATAGAATTTTTACTTGTTTCATCATATTTTAATTCATTTTAATGAATAACATTGAACATATAAAAGAACGCTTTTATCAAACAAACATTAATTGGTTACTTTAGTTTGTTTCTATGAAATTCAGAAATGGAAAAAAATGGAAATTAAAAGGTTTCCTTTAAAAAATCCTATGTACATATATGTATGTATATATCGTCGGTACACATACGTACAAGGATTTTACAATATCAAAGTCAAACTGTAAACGAGCTATTAAGAGCGACTACACGGACAGACGCTCCACCTGTTACCATCGCCCATGAAGATCTTTAGGATTCATTTTATTCGATTTTGTGTTCAGTAAATGAGAATTGAGATAAAAAGAACTAATGAGAGTTATAATCAATCAGAAATATTTAAATTAGCAGTTATAATTGCCTTTTATGCAGGGATATCAGATGAAATATGTACGAAAAATCTGTTTATATATATCTGCAAAGTGATAAAAAACATCGACTGAAAATCTGGCATACTTGAAAGAAATTCTACAATAAGTTATCCTGTTATCTTTAAACCCACATATGAGCAGTTTAATTTGTTCTAAACTTCCCATTAAGTTTTGAAATCTGATTAAATTACAAAATAAAGTTATTTATAGTAAAATATACACGAAAATAGTGACGATTAATCAAAATAACTTATTCGGTTTAATGGTTCCATGATTTTATATTTAACTCATCAGACCCTAATATTATAACTTGAAAATTAATAAGAATAAGAATAAGAATGAGAATTCTTTGTAAACTGATTCGGTTAACTCCATTCATAATTGTTTTTCCGGTGGGACATTACTTAAATAAAGTGCTTTTGAAACACATTAAATTCGTTAATGAAAATGTTTCATATTTTATACATTTCTTTTTCATGGCATGTTTAAGAAAGATATTTAGATTTATAAAGATATTCTTATCACGTCTTCAATTATTGCAATAAAACCATTTTAAGTTATTTTGAACACATCTTCACTTTAAAGGGCAGTAAAACGCAGCTGGGATAGTTTTATACAGAACTTTGTACATATTGTATAAATATGTCTTTAATTTATTGGATATAACAGAAGCAAAACACAGCTCGGTTTTTAAGAATAAATAAAACCAAGTCCATAATGAAGACTTGTATTATAAATAAAAAAATATCAAATTCCATTCATAAGCGTGTTGAAAACACACGTGGCAATAAACATCAATAAATATTTGAAACGAGTGAGTAACGCGTGAACCAATGTTTATTTCTTCAAAGTCAATATAAATATCAGAAGCTATGAAACGTAATAGTCAGTGCTGATAATGTTATGTTTTGTTTACTTATGTACAGTTTTTTTCAAGCTTTTCGACATGTTTAATATGAAATTAATTCTATGTTTCCTTTAATACTTACCAGTATACAATTTGAAGTAAATATTTAGCATTAATATTCTTTATAGGAAACAATTTTTTACTGCAAAAACATTCATATTCTCATATTACATTTATAGTAACTATATCATATTATACGACAATGACTGAAATTATATATAAATATATGTTCCCAGTTTTTTATTTGTAATAAAAAATATTTGATTAAAGTATATTATTTTATGTCATAGTCCAGACGAGATGAGTGCTCGATGTAAAGTGGTGTTAACCTATAAACGTCGGATACATAAACATATCCATTAACGGACATGTACATTGACGTTCCAGCAAAACAAAGAGAGAAAAGGTTTGAAATGAATAAATAAAACAAGAGAAAATTTTAATTTTCTATCATAAAATCATTTAATATATTACAGCGAATTAAAACTCTCGGTCGTTTTCGTGAGATATTTTCGGCTTAGATAACGTTTTGAGATGTAATTGAATTTTACCTCAAAATCTTAGCAACAATACCCTAAGTGGAGGTTTGAGTGATTGATGAATCTCTGTTTCGCTTTGATGTAACATGAATTACAATGAAGGATATTTAAATATAGTTAGGTACTCAGACATTTGTAATGAATAAAATTGTATCTCTTTTTTGTTGCTTTTCTATATAAGTATTAATATCTAGTCTATATGATTAACTCATAATACTTGTAAATTGTTTCAAATAAACTTTCATACAGTCAAGTCTTTCGAGCATTTTCCACAATTTACAGGTAAACTTCAAGAATATATATATATATAAAATATAATGCACATATGTACATAAATTATATATTTAAGTAAAAGGCCTTAGGTCATATAACATGGCGACGTCAGGCTTTATGATGTGTCAAAGTCAGAACTTACAAAGGCTTTACAGGTCAGCTTGGAAGTTAGTCTTTACATCGCAGTGGGTCATAGCCATAATGGGAGATCGTTAAGAGCGTAATTAAAGCCTCCATGTACCGTCCATTCCATTCCAAAGCTCTGAGTGAAACGTAGGCTAGAAAACATACGAATACGTATTTATTTTTTATAAGTAATTTCTTTAAATAATGACAAAATGGGGAAGAAAACTGTTATAAAGCAAAAGAAACGCTATACTAGGTTTACAAACTAATATCCCATACATGCATGCATACATACACACTCGTACATTATATATATACATCAAAATACACATACATACATACATACTCTCGTTCATATCGATTATTTTAACACATATTAGTAAGTCATCGTGTTGTGTAACTATAAACGGACGCTTTTCAGTTTATGATTCCCTTGCCAACAACAGAATGCGAAAAACAAGTGGAGCATAAACGATGACTAACATGTTTCACTTTTTACTAGCTTTAATGAGATATTAATTTCATCTTAAAAAAGTCTATAGGTCTCTGAACATTACTCTTATTTATAAAATAAATAACAGAATATGAAATAAAACTTGGACTAGAATTCGTTGTGTATGTTTTTTCATTTGAATTATATGACATAAAATATTTGAAATTTATTCTTTCGTTCGGACAGTTATAATTAACATGTTTTATAAAAGCAAAGGTACCTTTCAATTAAAAAATTCTATCTGATCGTTTTAGTCCTACATAAAGAGCCGTGTGTTGTCTCCTAAATTCCACCTGCGAAGGTATAACGTATCTGACCACTCCTAGTATCTCGTGCTACGGGTCGTAAACGCTTTTATTGCGCTCAATGTAAAGCTAACTTCCAAATTGTGCCTCCTAGAAAATAAACTTTCGTCTCGTGATATATTAAACAATATAAATTTTATGTTAAGCGGTCATCAACACTGATAATTTCAATTGAAATTCGGATAATTTTTTAAGTTAAGAAAATCTGTTAATTTTTAATTTTATTAATTTATTTTTGTTGGGGTTATTATTGTCTTTCTTAAACCTTTAATTGACTAAGTGTTCATACAACGAAATACATTTTTTCTTAACTAAACAAAAAAATATATATTTTTAGTCTCGGTACATCTATATTTTATTCTTTACGAGATTAATAACTCATAATAAAACAACGATTTAATTCATTTATCATTCGGGTCAGGTACTAAACATTTTTATATATTAACTTTTGGATTCAAATGGCAGTTAGTTATAAACTTTTTTATGTACCCAAAGAGCCGTTTGCATAAACTTGATTTAGATGTTACCTAAAACAGCCAACTTCGGTTCAATGTTCATTTACATAATATAGCCTACAATATATCTTATGATAAAAGCCTCGTACGTTGTGTCGACGCAAATGGCATTATCGCATTTTTATACGTGAAAGTACCATTTAGATCCCATTTTGAATAAAGAAGTCAAAGATTCTGTAAACAATTATATAAGTGAACAGGAATTCTGTTTTCGTCGTTAGTATTTATTTTTTTCATATACTTTCATATTAGTTATAAGAATTCTATTTTATAAATTTTCTTTTAAAATGACTTCTATCAATTAATAAAACATACTCCTATATTATATTAACTCGGTTTTTCATTGTGTTACATATCTATGAATCAGCGTCTGTCTAAAGATAGTCTAAAGTCCAAATCCTCCAAGTTTAAGGAAGATATAAATTAAATGGAATCTGTGCTATAAATTTCCAATTGCATACGATTCGTAACGTATACGTCTCGCAGTCGTCACGTCGTGAATCAAGTGGCGCCGGAATTTGTGCGGGAATCTGTGGCGTAACTTACGACCCACATCCGTTAGCCATATTTGCTTTACTCGCGTGACTTAACTTATGTAATGATAGCAAATTTTATATGTTATCTACTTATATAAGCATCCTTCAGTAAAAATATTTATAAGATTTTAATTTTGCAAGTACATTTGTGTGAAATATTTGAAATATATTTACATAATGTTTACCTTCCAAAAATATATCTACTTATAGATGGATATTTAAACAATAGAAATGAATTTAGTCTTGAATAGTTTAAGTTCTTTTTGTTATGAAAGAATAAAAGTTACCGAATAACTAAATAAATTAAATAGATTTTTTATTGTAATTTTTTAACGATCTTTTTATTTGAAATGATTTGTAAAATAAAATGTTTTAACTCAATTTTGTCATGTCAGTTAATCATAATTTACGTCCTTAAATTAGAAAACAAAAAGAGAGCACCAAAATTTTAAGAAAAAGAAAGAATAATTGTTCTTACTATATTATTATATTATGTACTTTAATTTATATACACCCATATAACGTTGAACAGAGCAAGTTTCCTACAAATTTTAACTCTATAGCGGTCTACACGAATACACTCAAAA